CATATATTTTTAATAAATACCTTTATATAAAATCCATTCCTCTTGCCTGCAGTGTTGTGATCATGGATATTATGGTCATATTCTGTAGTCTGATATATTTTGAACTAGAAAAGCTTTGTAGTGCTTTCTCTAATCCTCAACTGATATTTCTTTTTCTCTTATTAGTGCACTGGGGAGTGATTTATCCCAGGCTGCAGAAGGGGGCTGTACTGTTTTTTCAATTATTTTTTTGAGTATTGATTGCTACTAGTTTCCCTTTTAAAGATATGTGATGGAGGTCTTGAAGCTTAACCCATTCGTGCTGGGTAAAAATGAACAAAAAATGGGTAAAATGCTGTGCTCATTTTTTGTACTTTTTGTGAAATGTCTCTACACATGGATGGCTCTGCATCACCTGTTTTCATTTGGTGGGAAAATGTAATTTTTAGTAATACTATGAATACTGATGGTTATTTTTATTATAAACATTATAATTACTATAATGTTATAAACATTAGTAACAGCAAAATAAGATAACGTAAAATATCTTCGTAGATCAAATAAATGGATAAACGGGCGAAACAGGCAGTACTCGTAGTAAGTGTAGCCATCTATGTGTAACAACAATTAAACAAGTAAACTCACAGTGGGCATGTCATGTATACGTGACACCCGGCGCGAATGGGTTAATTATTTTGAGATAACTGTTAAGAGCAAAAGAAAAAAAAAATGTATGATGACTAATGATTCTTAATCATGTAAATTGTCACCTATGACTTGTCTCTTTCTATGCAGAAGGACAATGGGTAGTGTGAAAGAAAATGGAGATGGCAAAATGCTCTACTGCCTTTCTCCATTGGCCATTGTTGCCATGGGGGGAACTTAGAAGACTGTGACTGAGGCCCAATGCCAGGGATCACCCCTACCTTGGGCCCCAGCCTTTGACTAAACTAATTTTATGTTGTTTTCTGTTCAACCCCTTCTACTATCCACCTCTTAAAGTGTGAAAGCCAAGTTGCAAGGATGAAAGGCTGTACCAGGGTCCCCTTAAGCCATGGGCTCAAGGGGACCCTGAGGGGTGGACCATTTCTCTCCCTAACATAATCCAGACTTATCAAGGCCAGTAATGAAGATTTTGTACCCTTATTAGGGGCAATAAGACTTGCCCCTTTATCAACTAGCCCCACTGATTTTAATTCTCCCAGGTCCCTGAATCATGGCTCTGCTTTGACCACAACTCTTAACACTACTATCACGCCCTCCTCACTGCCTACTATCACAGTCCAGTCCAAATCATCCACTCAACCTCCAGGAAACATTCCTCCTCAACAAATCTTTTGAGTACTCTGTTTAGCCCAGCCAAATGGAATAATTTTTTTGTGGTCCCCTCTATAGCCCCTTACTCTGATAACACTCTCCTTTTCCAACAGAACCCTCCAAAAACAAGTAAGTAAAGTTTCCTTCTCCTGATTGTTTCCACCTTGTCATAGTTTCATCCAAAAGCAAGCTATATCATAATCAACCCTGACAGACTTCACTGGCAAACCCATTCCTACCCAGTGTCCTCCCTCCCTCAGTACTTGTACTGTAACTGTCTCCATTTCCCAGATACACTGCCTTATCTATGACAACAATTAGTCAGATTGTGGAGAAGACTTGCCTGCCTCGTGGACTAGTATAATGCTACACCATTCCCACCAATATTACCAAGATTACTTTCCACAGACATGTCCTCTCTGTCCTACCATATCAACCTTCCCCCCCATCAATTTTAGAAATGTTGATGTCTAAGCCACCCTGCCAAACATTGCTGCTCCACAGCCCAATAGCTTCTATGCCCAACCTGGTCATGATTGATTTAGGGGCTGCCTCACTTACAAGTTTGAGTCTGAGGTGGCAACTCTTAGATTCAAGCTCGTCTCACTTTATATGAGGCCAGACAGAAAACCTTTTGATGAGGTTTTTCTGTTACTCCCTTCTCCAGTTTGCCCTTCACTCCTCCCCTCTCCATTCCTCACAAGATGTTTCTACATCCTCCCCTCCCTGCATCTCTTCCTCTTATGTTTTCACTTCTACCTTTCCTCTCCCAATCAAATTCTTTTACTATTCTAAATCCAGACACCTCAATCTCTACCACTACCCTTGACACTTTAAATGTTACACCCTCTCTTCCACCTACCTCTTAATCTACCCCTTTAGATGCCCATATCTTCTTCTCCATCTCCTAAGAAAACCTTGTTTCTCAGACCTTCCAATCAAAGCCACTTCAGAATCTCTTGGAGACATTAAAAAAGATCTAATCATGACCCAAGATAGTGTGCCTACACCTCATCCATCTTCCAACCTCTCTGCTACCATTCCCTCTACACTCAAAGTAACTCCCGACATCCATTCTCTTCCTATTCATGTTCCCCTTCTTCACGCTCCCTCCCAACACATCCTGTTTCCCTCTGCTTCATCTGCATCATCCCCCCTTCCTTCTCCATTAACCCTTCCACTTCCCCCTGGATACACATCTGACTCTTAGTCAAAACAGCCCCCTTCCCTGTATTCTCTGACATTTCTGAAGCTGATCTTATTGCCCTTAAACCCCTTTCTCCTTTTACTAATTCTAAATCCAGACACATCATCTCTACCACTACCCTTGACACTTTAAATGTTACACCCTCTCTTCCACCTACCTCTTAATCTACCCCTTTAGATGCCCATATCTTCTTCTCCATCTCCTAAGAAAACCTTGTTTCTCAGACCTTCCAATCAAAGCCACTTCAGAATCTCTTGCTGCCTACCTTCTACACTCAAAGTAAACTCCCGACATCCATTCTCTTCCTATTCATGTTCCCCTTCTTCACGCTCCCTCCCAACACATCCTGTTTCCCTCTGCTTCATCTGCAATCATCCCCCCTTCCTTCTCCATTAACCCTTCCACTTCCCCCTGGATACACATCTGACTCTTAGTCAAAACAGCCCCCTTCCCTGTATTCTCTGACATTTCTGAAGCTGATCTTATTGCCCTTAAACCCCCTTTCTCCTTTTACTAATCTATTTTCCCACACTTCTTCCTTTGACAACTTTGATCTAATTAACCCTGGTAATTCCTACCTTAGCAAATTCATTCTCACTCTCTACCCTCACCCCTCTTTGCCTCTTTCAGTGCCATTCTATCCTGAACTGCTATACTTTTGACGTGCAGCACACTTTATCATCAGCTAACCCCTTTCTTTACCCTTTTCACTACTACTCCTTTTTATAGTGTTACATGATCTTTGTTGTCTAGCACAGTTCTTTTGCTTTGTAACCATTAACCATTAACCACTGCCTTTCTGGGTCAAACGAGAACAGTCCCATCTCCGTCAGCCCAAAATGACATCATATATATTTTTGATTTTACTTAATTCTTTGTTGGATACCTCAGTAAAGTCTTAAAAACATACACTGCAAATACACTCTTTATTCAAAAGTTTAAGATACATATGCAGTTTTATGGATTTTTCTTTAAGGAAGAAAACAGGTAAATATTCCCAAATACTGTATATATGGATATTCTAAAAGGAAATGATGTCTATAACTTGAGTTTTGTATAATTGACCTTTCAGGAAATGGTTTTGCCTTTTTTGACAAATATAGATGTTTTATATTGCAGTAAAACATCCATATATGCATGCACGCACACACACACACACACACACACACACACACACACACACACACACACACACACACACACACACACACGCACACACACACACACACACACACACACACACACACACACACACTCACTCACTCACTCACACACACACACACACACACACACACACACACACACACACACACACACACACACACACACACACTCACTCACTCACTCACACACACACACGCACACATACTCACTCACTCACTCACTCACTCACTCACTCACTCACTCACTCACTCACTCACTCACTCACTCACTCACTCACTCACTCACTCACTCACTCTCACACACACACACACACACACACACACACACACACACACACACACACACACACACACACACACACACACACACACACACACACACACACACACACAAAAGATTGCTTACATGAGCTGGTAAGCCTTCACTTCTTTTGACCAGTATTTTTAAGAGTTCTAGATTAGCTATTCCGTTTTCTAGTTACGAGCACCACCGTTATGATAGCATTCGTTGAGCTAAATTCTCTTAGAATGCTTAGAGAAGGCACTCCAGTTCAGTTTGTTGACGATCTTTTAGCCATTGCAGCGCGTAGATCTTCCCGCGAAAGCGAACGGCATCAAAGACCCGTCCGCAATAGTCTTTGCTTGCGTAGCGCTTGGTGTAAATTTTCGTTCACTGACTCAGTCGTAAATTTATCGTCTTATTCCCTTTCAGGAAACCAAACATTTAGGTTTTGCCTTATCATTTGCCAGCAACAGCGCAAATCATTGTTTAGATTACTTTACAGGTTTGGATAGTTTCACATTAAATATATCAGCTACCTGAAGGTTCAATCTGAATCTTGATTTATTTGATGATTTCAAAGGCTTACCCAGACATTATTTTTTGGCTACCAAATCACTCAAATTGGACATTTTGATTATCAAAATCTATAACGGTAATAACGTTGTTATCCTTGATAAGTCTGATGATATACGCAAGGCTCAATCACTCCTGTACATCTAAATGTATCACAAACAGCGATCTAACCACCTGGCACTGAATCATCTCGTAAAAACCTCAGACGTATTGCTGCTACTGATCGTTTTAGAAAGGCAAAACCCTCTATTCCGTATTCATATAGCCTCCCTAAAACACAAACAGGGCGTTTCTTTAAGGCCTACCATTTCGTCTTGTAATTGCCAGTCGATTAGACTCTTAGCTAGTTGACGTTTTGTTTCCTTTAATGGGATTTCATGGATAGAGTTGGAAATTTGCCGACGCACGGTAAGAAATTAGTGAGTTTCGATGTGGATTCCCCTTTTACTAAAGACCTACTTGACGATGTACTAGACCT